TATGATTTGTTGTTGTTGTTTAGTTCTTAAGTCGTAGATTGAGCAATGTGGGTATGCACAAGGCTGATGATATGATTTGTTGTTGTTGTTTAGTTGTTAAGTCGTGTCTGACTCTTCGGGACCCCTTGGACCAGAGCACGCCATGCCCTCCTGTCTTCCACTGGTATCCTCTTATAACTGAAGGGCTGCCATGGGGAAGATGGATCAATGTAGTTGGGGTGAAAAACAAAAGGAACCACCCGATCAAAGAGAGGATGTGGATGAAACTTTTGAAAAAGGTTGGAGTCTACTACTAACCACCCGATCAAAGAGAGGATGTGGTTGAAACTTTTGAAAAACAAACTGCAAGAATTTCAAAGAGACATGATGTAGTAGTGATGAGAGATTTCAATTATCCTGATATCTGTTGGGAGGCAAATTCTGACAAGTATGGGCTTTCCAAGAAATTCCTGGCTTGTGTGGCTGATAATTTTTTCCTACAAAAAAAGTGGAGAAAGACGCTAGAGGACTAGCTACTTTTGACTTGATTCTAACCAGCGGAGGTGACTTGTTGGAAGACATGGCAGTAAGAAGAACTCTGGGTGAGAGTGACCATGTTCTACTAGAATTCATGATTTCAAAGGAAACCAGAGAAGAGTGTAACCACACGTATATGCTGGATTAAAAAAAACCACACAATTTAATAAACTCAGAACAAGGATAAGTAAAGTCACACAGCAGAAGATCCCAACAAAGAGTCCAAGAAAGGTGATAGGAGACAGCAAAAAAGGCCAGCGTGACTTCACAACAAGTTCAGAGAGGACCTGAAAACAAAAAAGGACAAGTATAGGAAGTGGAAAGAAGGTCAGGCCACAAAGGAAGAGTATAGAGAAGCGGTATGGAATGGCAGGGATGACATTAGGAAGGCAAAAGCTGAAATATGGAATGGCAGGGATGGCATTAGAAAGGCAAAAGATGAGAATGACTGGAGGTTAGCAAGAGACACTAAAAGCAACAAAAAAGCGTTCTTCAAGTATGTTCATAGAAAACAACAAGGAAAAGAAATAGTGGCTGAGCTTCTTAATGGAGATGGAAAAATGACAACAGATGACAAAGAAAAGGCAGAAGTGCTCAATTCCTATTTTAGCTTAGTCTTTTCATAAAGGAGAGGTTATGACCCGCCAGAGAAATGTGAAGTGCAAGTGGAGGGGACAGGATTGAAGCTGGAGGTTGATGAACAAATAGGCAAGAAATACCTTATTACCTTAAATGAGTTCAAGTCTTGAGGGCAGGATAAACTGTATCCAAAAGTATTGAAAGAACTGGCTGAAGAACTCTCAAAAACACTACCCATTATTTTCTTGAAATCATGGGGAATTGAAGAACTCTCAAAAACACTATCCATTATTTTCTTGAAATCATGGGGAAAGGGTGAGGTACCAGATGATTGGAGGGGATCTAATGTTGTCCCTATCTTCAAAAAGGGCAAAAAAGGAACCTGAGAATTACAGACTAGTTAGCCTGATGTCAATCTCAGGGAAAATTCTGGAACAGTTTATAAGGCCACCACTATGCAAGAACCTAGAAAATAGAGCAATAATAATTAGAAATCAACACGGATTTGTCAAGAAGAAATCCTGCCAGACTAATCAGATATCATTTTTAGGTTGGGTAGCCTCCATGACAGATAGAGGGAATGCTGTACACATAGTATATCTTGACTTTAGCAAAGCTTTGGACAACGTGCCCGATGATATTCTGATTCGCAAGCTAACTAGGTGTGGGCTGGATAGAACAACACAGTTGGCTACAGCATTGTACTGAGCGAGTGATGATTAATGGCTCCAGTGTGACCGAACCTGACAATAACACCCATAAACGACCTCACCTCAATCAGTGTGGGATAGGCGAAAAATCCCTGAAAGTACTGGCCAATCAAGTCAAAAATTCCTATCTGGCCCCGAATGGCAACCAGTAAACTCACATTGAAAAACAGGGAGGGTGGGTGGGCTGAGAGCCTCAAAAGAGGCTGAACCGGGGGGGGGGAGAGGTTTCTTAAAAACAAACTCGCTCCTGCCCCCACCCTCCCAGAGCACTCGTGATGGCCAGAGCACTGCTCTGGGGCGTATGGCAAAGAGACCCCGCACGGCGAAGAGATCTTGCCGCAGAAGCAGCCATCGTCTCCAAATCCTGCAAGGTACCAGTTCCCCTCTATTCAGCACTGGTTAGGCCTCATCTTGAGTACTGTGTCCAGTTCTGGACATGGGACTTCAAGAAGGATGTCAACAGATTTGAACAATTTCAGAGGATGGCAACAAGGATGATTGGGGCAACAGAGGGCAACAAGGATGATCGGGGGTGGAAACCAAGCCCTATGAGGAAAGACTGAAAGAACTGGGCATGTATTAATCTTGAAAAAAACTGAGGGAAGATGTGAGAGCACTTTTCAAATACTTGAAAGGCCATCATACAGAGGGGCAGAATCTGTTTTTGATTATCCCTGAGTGCAAGACCCTGATTCCTGATTATCAGGAAAAACTTCCTAACTGTTAGAACAGTACCACAATGCTCTAACAGTTAGGAAGTTTTTCCTGATAATTACCGTGAGAGCTGGTGAGTGTCCCAACCTTGGAGGCAAAGAAATTTAGAAAACCACCTACCGTGAGAGCTGGTGAGTGTCCCAACCCTGGAGGCAAAGAAATTTAGAAAACCACCTAGCAGATACTCTTTGATTTGTATTCCTGCAATGACCAGGGAGTTGGATTTGATGGCCTTATAGGCCCCTTCCAACTTCAGGATTCTATGATTCAAGTTTGTTTTCTGTGGTTCTAGAGAGCAGAGTCCAAACCAATGGATTCAAACTAAAAGGAAGGAGATTTTGACTAAAGAGTGGATAGCTTAGTGGTTGAAGTATGTGGCTTCAGTGCCAGAGATTGAGAATTCAATTCCTTACTGTGTCTTCTTGACAGGGGTTGGATTCGATGATCCATAGTGCCCCTTTCAGCTCTGGAGTTCTAAGATTATTATTAGGAGGTACTTCTGATGAGCTATAAAGCAGTGGATTCTTCTTCACTGAAGTTTTTTGAAACAAAAGTTGGATGGCCATTTATCACATACAGTACACGGATTTCTTCCTTGGCAGATATTGGCTGCGATTCCTGAAATCCCTTCCAACTCAACGATTCTACAATTCTATTATTGCAGTGGAAATTTCTCCCTGACTGCTGGCTGAAGTGTGAGTATCTAGATAAGTGTTTATGAAAGTTGCTACAACTATTATGATTATTTCACTTTCTCCTTGCAGATGACACAGAATCCAGGATAATACAGCTCTTTGCCCTTGACTGCCTTTCCTACTCCTCTGCCTCAAACACTGCCTCATGGAATCCCTCTGCTTCAGTGGCACAGAGAGCAGGTAAAGCATTCTTCATATTTTCATGGCTGAGTTTGCTACTGTTGTGTTGCATTCCAGCAAAATGTTTGAGGATCAGTTGATTTCATACTTAAGCAATGCTTATCATGTAATTGTGGATTCCCCCAAGGTAGCAATAAACAAGGAAATATTTCCCTTAGTTTTCCTGAACTTACTGCCACATCCATAGTGTGATTGGTTGGTGATGGTTATCCCTGTCATCTGAAAGAAACACATTGCATCTCTACCCTTCACATTCTATTAGCATCCAAAATTACATAACAGTCTTTTATCAGCAGAGAGGGTTCTTACAAAGGCCTCCATGAGGACACAAAGATAGCCAAACAAAGGAAGTGGCCAGCTCAGGGAGTTGCTACATTTCAACTAGACAGGCAGATCATAGCTGCTCGTCTCTAAAATGTCCGAAGGCTACTTCGCCGCTGTATTTGTAGGGTTTATCTATTCTTTATATCACACTCACAGAAGAAGTCTGGCCGGAATAACAGGAGACTGCTGGTTAGAATGACAACACATATCTCAGGCTTTAATGGATGGAATTAGGATGAAGCTAAAAATACCAGCCTCTAAATCTTTTCATGGCTTGTTGAAATACATTATCATTTTCGACAATCCTATATACCAATAACAAACTTAGTTGAAGCGTAGAATCACCACCACCATCATTAATTTCTAGGGTGATTTAGATGTAGGAGAATCAGATATGTAATGTATTGTCTACATGTAGTATGTACTAGAGAAGCAGAAGACATCAAGAAGAGGTGGCAAGAATACACAGAGGAACTATACCAGAAAGATCGGGATGTCCCAGACAACCCAGATAGTGTGGCTGCTGACCCTGAGCCAGACATCCTGGAGATGCTGCTTTTATCAGTATTGCCTCTTTTTTGTCTTTGGCTCTGCCTGTTTTATTGTAATGTATCCCTCTTGAGAACTTCTCTGAATTTGAATTCCATCCCACAGCAGAAAGAAGGTCCCTGATGTTCAAAGATCAAACAGGGATTTGAATCCAATCGTCTGTGCTCTTTCCACCCATCACCTCTGTTACAACCTGACACCCACTACACTACTTCTCTTTGCTTAACCAGCGTTGGGGTTTCTTTGTGGGACAGCCCTTTCAGGGGATCCCATGTTTTAGCAGAGTAGCTTCAGCAGTTGTTTCTTGCAGGTTGTTAAACCCACTTTGTTTCTCTAGTCTCTGAAGCAAGAAACCAGGCGGAGGCTGGGTTTGAAGTAAAAAATAGTTACCAAGATCAATTTAGAAAATATATGGATAGAAATGGCCAAGTCCTATTCTAAACAATGGGCCACATGCTAGACTGGAAGACACGGTCTGAGTTGGGGCAGAGTCCCCTCTCAAAGAGAGAAACGTTAACAGGCTGAAAAGAAAGATAAGACTAACTGAGAGAGACAGGAACTCGAAGTGTCTTCTTCCATTCTTTCGGGTAAAAAGAAGGTGGAGAAATGGCCAATGAAAAGGACAGACACAAGCTACTCGATTCCTAAATGGCCCTAGTGGACATTTGTGACAGACAAATGCAAAGTGGTAATGCTCCCAGAAGAATCTTCCAACAACCTGAACCATTCCTACCTTGGTAGATACACCTCCACCTTCTGCTTCTTCACAGAGCTGGCCCATTCCTCAATCAACTGAGCTTTGACCAATGGCTCCAGTGTGGCTAGAGGAACTTCCTGCCTGGAAAGAACGATCATCATACTGATCTCATCACCTTCGTAGGGTATTTCCAGAACTTGATAGATGCCACCAGCTTCATTGGAGCCATCACTGAATTCCCCTGAAAGAAAACCATTTCATTTTAACTTATTGGTATCTGAATTCACAAGATACTGCTTTCCCATCCAGAACCAGAATTTAAACAGATTATGATGATGAGATAGCAAAACCAGGGAAACCTTTCTTTCCTTTGGATCATACTTTTTCACGATGTTGAAAGTTAAAATCAACATTAACTTAAAATTAATCCTATACCATGGGAAGAGGACTGTTTCATCCTCTTTCTGTGGTGTATGATTGTTATGTCACCTGCAGCATGGACTTTTCAGGGTATTCTCTCATCATCTTATCATGCAATAAGAACAGAGATGAGCAAACCTAGTGAGTCCGGGGCCTAGTATTAATGCACTGGAATCCATTTGTGGAGCGCACCCTTTCCAAATGAGTCAGGCTTTCCAATTCTTTCACAACCAGAAGATATGAGAAGTCTTTTCTTGAGAAATCATTTCCAGGATCAGGTAGTGTTCCATGGAAAGGCAGTCCTACTCACGGAGGGGAAATAGAAATCCCATATTTTCACCCCACCGTTGCCACTGAACATTGTCCAGTTGGGTAAAAGGGACAAACAGAGAACCCTGGGTTTCAAAGGCTGACAGGATTGAGAGGTAGAAGTACAGCATCAGTGAATAACAGTCATATTATAAAAGTTGTCACCACAGATGGAAGAGGAAGCAATATGCATTTTTTGTTTCTGTGGAGCAGATAACATGGAAACCTGTCACCAACCTTAACTATAAAGTGCTTAAAGCTAAAGCCATCATATGGACTCACTGATTCAAGGGGTCCCTTCCAGTTCTGCAGATCTAAGATTACTATTACTGTCATTATTATATTCTATGAGTTGGCATTAAGAGCTGAGGACATGATACACCCCGCCCCCAAATAAAACTAACTGGCTGGACTCTTTTGCTTACCGTAATAAAATTCTCCCTGCTGATACATCATTGGAATTTGCACTTCACTTTCATCATCCTTAGTGAAGGAGAACGTTCTTGTGTTTTCTGGCCTGAATTGAGATTTCCAGTTTCCCTTAAAGTAGATTGCATTGATGAGGGCCAAGTGAGTAAGAGAGCCGAAATCCCTGGCTGACACAAAATCTTTGATCATGTCTGTCAGATGAAAAGGAAGAGAAGGAGCACATTCATCAGCATTGCTAAATGAGCATTTAAAGCAAAGTTTACTCATCCTGAAAAAAATAACACCCAAATTAATGTGCAATTTCCAATTAGAAACTTCTTCTCATGAAATGGCTGAGAGTTTGGGTGGGGAAGAACCTAGGATTCAATGCTGGTAGATCAGCCTATGTAATATGAAAAAAACAGGAGAAAATCACAGTACTGGCATTAACACGTCAACTCAATGCAGTGTAGTTGAACCAATGCAGGCTGTGACAGAAGGGTAAAATACTGCAAGATTTGCTACAGGTGTAAAACCTATTAATTTACTTTTTTTAAAAAAAAAAAGAGATCACATGATGCAAAGGCCAATTCAAATCCGTTTGGCCCTTTTTGTTCCTGATACGGAGTTTCTTCTCTGCTGCTGAGGGCTTCTACCTTTTTCAAACCAGAACTATTCAAAGGGATTTTTCCCGGTGTGTTCGTTGTTTGTTCTCAAAAAGGACAGTGTCTCTGTGTTTGTGTCACTGTGGCAGTATGCTAGTGACATACTACGCTGGACTTGATATTTTGGACACTCATCCCTGCAATCGTCCTCCCTGTTGCCTCAGATACATTTTTATTTTATTTTTTAACACAAATTACCAAGTTTAGCACTAGATCAACTTTATCACAACAGTGATATACTAGTTTAATACTAGATCAACATCTGCATGGACAAAAAAAAGAGTGATAAAAATCAATACGAACTAGAAACAACTTTGATGAATTACAGCAGACTATGCTTCCACAGTGTGTGTTGGTACATTATGGAGGGCTTTGGAAAACTGTCCCTTTCTCTCAGTGCTGTGTAACACTTTAAATAGCCCACCGGCTTTAGAATGAACCATAAAAGAGCTGGGGATCGGCAGAAGCCAGGATCAAAGGAAGAAGGGCAGATCAAACTATATCTGACTGAGGGGGCAATGTAAGACACTGACACCAAAACAATCACCGAATCTGAACAGATGTATAAAATCGAGTGCATGTCAAGCTACAGCAAAGCTGAGTCATTCTAATTTGGCTTGCCACTGTAGTTGCAGCTTTAATTAGTAAGATTAGTCAGCTAAAAATCAACCTGTAATTTAACATCTCTCCCTCTGCCCCACAGACAAATATTTACAATGACAACTGAGGAACCCACAGGTAAACAGATGTGAAACATTGGTAGGAATGAAAAGTTTATAGTTGAGGTAGGCCACAACAGCCCCTCAGTTGTGGCTGGGGTACAACTTCCATGATTCCTCACCTTTGGCAATACAGGCAAAGATTATTGGGAGATGCAGTCCAGCAACATCTGGAGGGTTTCAGTTGCCCACCTGGTTGTTGGTATAATCCTTGTCATCCAGCTACTCTCCTTGATAGAGGCAGCCCGCCCACCCAGAACAAATCATGAGATTCAGGGTCAAAATAATATTAAAGGGAGCCCACACTCTCTCTGGAAGTACTCTCTACTGGAAGTACAGATCCTGAAGCTGAAGCTCCAATATTTTGGCCACCTCATGGGAAGAGAAGACTCCCTGGAAAAGACCCTGATGTTGGGAAAATGTGAAGGCAAGAGGAGAAGGGGACGATAGAGGACGAGATGGTCGGACGGTCACCGAAGCTACCAACATGAATTTGACCCAACTTCGGGAGGCAGAGGAAGACAGGAGGGCCTGGTGTGCTCTGGTCCATGGGGTCACGAAGAGTCAGACACAAGTTAACGACTAAACAACATACTCTCTCTAGTTAACTTGTTTTCCCTCTCACAATGGGATTTCCTTATGGACACATGTAAGTCTCAAGAATGAGACTTACAAATTAAACTTATGCTTACTCCCCAATGATCATCACAAAACAAAGCATGTCAAATGCAAGGTAACTATGTAAATATACATGAGGAAAATGACCAATGAGGGAACACTTCTAAAAATGTGCAAGATATATCATCTCGTTTGACTCTCGGGGAGCTAGCCCTGCTATGTCTTTGCACCAGTTACTCTAAGCTTGGCTCTCCAATCTTGGTAAGTCTTTAAGAGCAAAGGTACTCAAATTACTCTGCCCACTGTAGGAACTTGACTTATGGCCCTTGGAAGCACACCACATGCCTTCATCTCATTGGATCTTTGACTGCTGACTCCTGAATCTGATTTTGGTCTACTTGGTTTAAGACTTTTGCCCTTGACCCCCTATTGGTACCACCATCAATGTTAATCACTCTGGATAAGCAGCACCTTGGATAAGCTTTGGATTGGCATTCCAACCGTTATGTGGAATCTACAACTTGTGTCCCTCCAGATGTTCAGTTGCAGCTTTCAACACCCTAATCAGCACAGCTAAAGGAAAAAGAAAGAGGGAGTTCCTGTCCAGCAACATTTGGAGGACCAGAAATTGCCCAGTCCTTGGATTTGCACAGTTTCCTCCACAGATTTCATCCTCATGCAAGTGTCAGATCTTGCCCTTTAATCCTGTTTCTGCAAGCCATTACACAAAGCATTTCATAACTCATTAGGATTTTGCTAGACTTGGGTGTTGTGTGCACAAGTTCTTCCATTCGCTCTGCTTTCACAACTGCTAGTACAACAATGGCATCACTTGTGCATTTTCTGTCAACATAAGACTAGCTAAAGCTCTATCGTATGTCAAGACATTCCTGTCTTACAAGGAATCATTCTATAACCAGTCTTTCATCTGCAAAGGACTCTTGTGCACAAACCTGGCATAAGACACACAGGGGGAAAAAACCCTACCAACTGAAAGCAGTACCAGCAGGTTTCTACGTTTTTATTTATTTATTTATTTATTTAACGTCCCACAGGCTTTAAGAGTAATTTGCTGTTATGTACCATCAAGTCTAATACAACTCTGAGCAACTCTAATAAGGCTTTCAAGGTAAAAGACACAACAATGCCATCACTTGTGCATTTTCTGTCAACATACGACTAGCTAAAGCTCTATCGTATGGCAAGACATCCCTGTCTTACAAGGAATCATTCTATAACCAGTCTTTCATCTGCAAAGGACTCTTGTGCACAAACCTGACATAAGACACACAGGGGGGAAAAACCCTACCAACTGAAAGCAGCACCAGCAGGTTTCTACGTTTTTATGACTTGTTTTACCTAGGCAACGTCCGGATTTGAACCCCAGGTCGTGAGCACAGTTTTAGCTGCAGTACAGCGTTTTAACCACTGCGCCACGAGGATCTTTACTTCAAACCCACCCTTATGACTTGTTTTACCTAGGCAACGTCCCACAGGCTTTAAGAGTAATTTGCTGTTATGTACCATCAAGTCTAATCCAACTCTGAGCAACTCTAATAAGGCTTTCAAGGTAAAAGAGGTATTTAAGGAGTGGTTTTACTATTCCCCTCCCCAACACTGGCAATGGTGCGGCTAAAAAATATTGTAAATAAATAAATAAATAAACACACTGTGAGTTTCCATGGCAGAGCAGGAAGTTGAACCCAGATCTCCTGACTCCTAGTCTGTCAATCTATCCACTAGCCACACTGGGTACCTTTAAGAGTAATAAGCAAGTCATAAACACATCAAGCATCCAGCCCACTGACATTTGCTCAAGGAAGGAAAGAGACATCCTACATCTGTTCAAGTCAGGGGAGGCTTGTTAGCCAAGTGTAGCAGCTGCTGTGCCCACATTCTTAAATAAACCTCTCCAATCAGAATGCATGGTGTATTACCTGGTGTTGCCAACTGGGAACAGCTTGCTTGCTTCCTGGGATGGTGATTCAGAGCTTGGAATTCAGCTCTGACAGTGATGGATCAAATCAACGCTCCAGAGTTCACGGACGGTTACAGATGGGTCCCAGCAATTTATTTGGGATAAAACTGAACTGTACGCCTGACAGAGTGAGATATAGGCGCTGGAACAAACTACTGTGTAACCTCCCAACACATGGTTGGAGGTCTACATATCTGTTATCTTTTTCACGCATTGCACTGCCTCCATCCATGAAAGAAGGCAAGGGAACACCAGAGACTCTGAGGACCTTCTGCCTACATAAGATGATGCTTGTGTTCAAACTCTGTAGTTTGAACCATCCAGCTCAAAATCTTGCTCCTTAACATTAAAGATGATTGGTCTACATTCTGCTTCAAACTATCCCCACCGAGAACTTACCCCACACAGAACTAAAGCCCCAGTGCCTGTACTTTTCCCATCTCACATTCATCCTGCTAACCTTGCCAGTCCCTCTGCTGCTGAGATACAGGCTGTAGAATTTCACTGGCAGGGACGTTTGCCTGTGTTACCCTGTAATGCTCCAAGTATACTAATGGCTCTATATAAATAACAATAGTAATCTTCAATCTGGCTGTTGAAAACTTGAAAATTGTAATAACAACGTCCTCTGAAATGTAATCATCCATGCGTGCATCCTCTCTCACCAACACAATGAACAAGCATTATCTACATAAATGCAAATCTGGGAATATAACAGATGTTTTTCAAGTGAAACAGAAACAGAACAGCCAGGCGTGTCTCAGGAATCTCTGCAGCCATGTGCCTTGTATATAGAAAGACATCTGTCCAGGTCAGGAAGTCATCCAACCGACCCACCCTTATAAAAACAGGTGTGCTTCTTTGCTGGAGATTTCTTTTTATGATCTTTGTGACAGCTGATTTTCATTACTTACAGCAGTGCTGATTTTCAGACGGAAAAAAGTGACAACGGAGAGGGCAGAATTAGATTTTGAAAAACCTGCTGTTTTCTCCCCAACTGACAACATCAATGAAAACATTCCTGTTTCCTTAAAAATCCATTTTCTGATCCCATGTGTTTATGGATGTACAGTATCTAGAAGGCTGTCAGTAGGTTAGGAAAAAAAATCATGGATGACTCTTCTGCCTTTAGAGGTATCAATCAGATACAAGGTGAATTTACCCAGAATTAAAAGGGAGAGAGCAGATCAGGGAAGGACAAAGGACCACCTGCATATGTTGCTGGATTGTAAATCCTAGGAGCCCAAGCAGCATAGGCAACGATGAAGGATGATGGGACCTGTCAGCCAAGAACAAACACAGACCTACACTATATCTGCTGTGGCACAGGTACTATTGCAGCTGGCTAATTCTTGGAAATACGTTTTCATGTGAGGTGGGTCATTTTTTAAAAAAGTGTAACACACCTAATGTTCCAATAATTCCAATTGACAAGTGCCAGTTATGTCTGGGTTGCTTTTGTGGTGGATTTCCTGCTTAGCACTTGGGCTTGATGACTCTTGAGGCCCTTCCAGCTTTACAATTCTCTGATTTTATGTGCTTAGGTCACAATGATTTAAATTTCTTTCGTTTTAGGGTTAAGCATTGCAATGGTGGCCAACAACTTTCACAGCTTTAATGAGAGATTAGATACATTCATAAAATGTAAGGGCATCAGAAGCTACCAGTTAGGATAGCTAGATATCACCTCCATTATTAGAGGCAGTATTCTTCTGCATTTCAGTCACTGGGGAAGACAGGGCAAAAGGTACAGCTGAACTCATCACCCTGCTGGCAGATAAACCATGTGCAACTGGTTGCCTACCATGGAAATACAATGCTAACTAGGGAGACACATCAAAGCTGGAAGACACATCAAAGCAAATATTTAAGAAAAGGATGTAGCTGTTTTTAGAAGTATGCCTTCAATTAAAAAAAAAGAATTATAAAGACACTTGATATTGTTGGAAGACACTGGTCATGCAGAAAGGAAGAGCTAGGAATTAGGAATTTAATTTTCTCTGTGTAGACACAACTATACCTGAAGATAAAAAAAAGACAATGGACAAAATCCTGTTACTTAGCATGATGAATTGCACAGAAGTGGGTCCATGCAATCAGTTGGGATTTGCTGCGTCAACTCTTCTATACGCTCCATTGATTCAAACAGATCTACATTAAAGTAGGCTACAGCTGAACCAAAGGAATGTATGAAAAAGATGACTGAGCAAATGCCCACTGATTCAATGGGGTGACTTCAATATGTTAAGCAGCAGGATTTCAGTCACTGCCAGTTAAGAGGCTTGAAAACAGCCAGGAACTTACTGTTTGTATGGTTCTCCACCCATCCATTGATGTGGCTAGCAACAGCGACGCTTTGACTGAAATCTACATCTTCAACTTCAGCGTTAAAGTATTTTTTCATCAGCTGCAAAAATTTGTCACTAACATGATATCCATTCTGTACATAGAGAGAATTGGCCAGCTTCATCACATACTGGCTGTCCTCGGTGGTTGTCATGTCAGAAAGGTCCTTCAAGAAAGCAAATTCTGCACCTGAAATCAGAGTAAGAGTCAGCAAGGATACAGATCTCTTAGAGTAAGCAAATATATTGAGGACTTTTAAATATGTCACTGTTTCCCAGTGGAAAATCACAGTGATATTTCATCCTTCAATGGAGAAGGTCACTTTGAAATATTTTAGAATGGTGTGATGCTTCCTCGAAGGCTTGAGCAGCAGGAAAATTAGAAGCAATGACAGGTACCTAAAGCTTTGGGGGGCTCTTGTAGGCACACAAGAATTCTATCTACAGAGTCAGGAAATGTTTCACGTACTTGTCACGGCAGTTGTAAAGAACATGCTGATCCCCTTAAAACAGGGTAGGAATCATGTCCCCTTGGGTTATATGCATGCCCCCATGGCCACTGATATAGACTTATGTGTCCTTACAGCTCCCCCACTGCTACATCTTCTCCATTAACAGAGGAAAAATTGCACCTCTGGGACAGCCCAGCAAAGGACTGTGGGCTAAATCAGGACCAGTTGTCAGGACCAACTGGAGTAGTTTTACTGAATCAATGGATCTTTGCTAAGCCAACACTTAGCCATACAGGCATGTCTTTGATTCAATGAGTTTACAGCAGCTGGGACTAACAACTGGATTCAGGTGTGTGCATATGTGTTTCACAAAGGACTACGTAGGTTCTGCCTATCCTTTTAAAACTTTTGTAAACAACAGAGAGAATTTGGGAAATTTACTCCTTTGGCTGAAAACTTCCAGAATTGAGCCAGCATGAACATTCTTTACAGTAGAATGGTACATTTCTCCATAAGTGAACCTACAGACGTTTACTGTGATTAACGTGAATCCACAAAGGCTAACATGAAAATCTGTATACTTCTGGCAAAAGGGGGAAATGCCATCCAGATGTGCATCTCATTTTCCTTTCTCCCTTTAATAGGCAACCCACTTGAAACTCTGACAGCCATTGTCACTAACTTTTGCTATTCCAAGTTAACTTCTTCGAGTTCCTTCAAGCTGTCAGTCATCCAATCCTCCTCAAAAATGTTTTATCTCTCTGTCTGTCTGTCTGTCTGTCCGTCCATCCGTCCACCCAACCATCATTTCTCTCTCTCTCTCTCTCTCTCCAACCATCATTTATCTCTCTCTCTCTCTCTCTCTGTCCATCCGTCCGTCCACCCAACCATCATTCATCTATCTATCTATCTATCTATCGATCTATCTATCTATCTATCTATCGATCTATCTATCTATCTATCTATCGATCTATCTATCTATCTATCTATCGATCTATCTATCTATCTATCTATCGATCTATCTATCTATCTATCTATCGATCTATCTATCTATCTATCTATCGATCTATCTATCTATCTATCTATCGATCTATCTATCTATCTATCTATCGATCTATCTATCTATCTATCTATCCATCCATCCATCCATCCATCCTCTCTCTCTGTCCGTCCACCCAACCATTATCTATCTATCTATCTATCTATCTATCTATCTATCTATCTATCTATCTATCTATCTATCTATCTATCTATCTATCTATCTATCTATCTATCTATCTATCTATC